CTTTATAACACTTTCCAGACTGATACATGTCAACTATTTTGTTTCTCATCTGTTCTTGAATTTCTTTAGATCGTGGCATGATGTGTTGCTCTTTAAGCATGCTTCACTTTGTCAGACAGGTTTTAAGTGATTTCTTGATTCAACAGGTCTGGCAGTAATCAGGCCTGGGTGTGGCTAGAGAAATTTAACTCAGCTTTCTAAAATAATGTGGTTAATCACAGTTCCTTTCAATACACACAATTCTGTGTGGTTTAAAAGCGAAATTATACTTTTCAGCGAAATTAAAATGCCAGTAGGTGCCAGTAGTGAGCGAGTTATTGAGTCGTTCGTTCAAACGTTTCGTTCAAACGGCAGATTCATCAGATGTTTATGCGTGGGCTAATGAAACTTTGACTCAACCGTTCGTTCGTTCGTTCAAACCACGGAATCAATCAGCAATGAATTGGTTGTTTGCTGTGAGGTACGCTGTGTTCCGCCTAAAATGTAAGTGACCTAATATTATTGTATTTGCTTATTGAACTGTTTATAGAACTATTAAACAGTCGTAATGGTGAAAACGTTGTGTGATGTTGCCTAACTAACTGTATTTTAAATATAAAAACTTTCCATTTTGAATTTTTACCTCAGGATGAGTTTCTTAGTGTTGCGTGTTTTGATTTCTCCTGGAGACGATGCGTGAGCCTCGCCTCAGCAGCGCAACCGTATTCCGTCAATAGATGCATTATATAGGCTACAGTAGCTATATCCACTATTCATCACTTATTCTAAATGTAATAAATCAAAACAGTACTTGCGTTTTGGTGTTTACATAGTTATTTTTGGTTACTGATGTTTTAATCTGTCTGGCGATAATGAAGCGTTAATGTCGAGCCCTGGGCCCGCATCTCAAAGATTCTAAGAATCCTCTCTGAGAGCTCCTAATTTAGCTTAAAAATTTCTAACTAGGAGTCTTAGCTTAAAAGTTATTCAGGACCAATCTGAGAGCAACTCTTGAGCGAGGAAAAGACAGCAACTTTTATCTTAGTGAGGAGGAGGGGCTGACCCCGTTGCTAGCTATGACACAGTCTTTTGAAGACTGTGATTGGTTGGTTGTCCAAGAAGGAAATAAAAGAGCGCTTTTAAGTGTAGGGTCTATTATAAGCAGTGTTGCCAACTTAGCAATTTTGTTGCTAGAGTTAGCAACTTTTCAGACTACCCTAGCAACATTTATTTTTTCAAAAAGCACCTAGCAACAAATTGAGCTATTTTTAAAAAGTTTTTGCCAACTTTTAGCAACTTTTGTAAAGTGCCGCAAATGATAAAAAAGACATATTTTCATCTAAATTACACAAAAAGAGGAAACCATTGAACAGCTAGCCAGCCAAGCAGCACATCAACCTGGAGAGATCTAGAGAAAGATGCCTTACAGTACAAACAAATGTGCATTAAGTTGCAAGTTCCAATTGGTCAATAATAAATGCACATTTATGATACAGCATGTTATTAGCTTGTAATTGTTGTTCAATTAGGTACACTGTAAGAAAAAATATGTGGAAAAACTGAAAAAGTACTAGTCATTTTCTGCCAGGATGTTATCCATTAAGTTGTAACATGTAACCTTAAAACACAAAATGCAATGTGGAATTTAAAACACAGGTAAAACACCTGTAAAAAATGTATACGTATTGTCCCTTCATATAAACAGCACATTGTGTCCTATTTTTATAGACTTTTGTGAAGCACACTAATTAACTAGTACACTGGTTAAAACTATAATTCTTCAGAATGTGCCGTTTTACTAGTTAATAAGAAAATACATAAAATGTGTAACTGTTCAATAATTCAATGTTGTAAAAAAAATCAGATCATAAAGATGTGCTACTTATGTTAATCTTACAAATTAAAATATTTTATGTTTATAATATTTTTTATGAACAAATAACATTTAAAAAATATTTTTCGCTGAGATTTGAGTAATATCGTTGTGTATTCCACTTAAAAAAATGCTGTTTTGTGTAATGGTTATGCAATGACGTCATCACGCAATGACATCACAATGTCATTTAGCAACTTTTAGCAACAAATCATTCTGCCTTTAGAAACTTCCACTGAAAATTAGTTGGCAACACTGATTATAAGCCTTCACTTTGAAATTGCAGGCGTAATTTTTCCTGTTTCACCATACTCTCTCTCTCTCACACAAACACACACACATTATATATGTATATATATTCTTTATTTTTTATTTACCATGCTGTCATACTTAACGTATTTTATAGGAAATAAACAGCGACACAATAAGGTTCTAAAAGTGCTGTAATTGTTTGTGTTATCACTTTGCTTATAGAAGGTTGTGACAGACCCAAATCATCACTACTGCATAGTTGCATTTTTCCGGTTGCCAAATATGTTTTAATGTAGTGATTACTTCCATTCCTGGTGCTATGGCATTTATGCGCGGTGTCGGGGATGTTATCGCAGGGCTGTCCAAACTCGGTCGGTGTCCTGCAGAGTTTAGCTCCAACCCTAATTAAACACACCTGAACCAGCTAAAAAAGCTATTACTAGGCATAGAAACTTCCAGTCAGGTGTGTTGAGGCAAGTTGGAGCTAAACTCTGCAGGACACCGGCCCTCCAGGACCGAGTTTGGACAACCCTGTGTTAGCGTGTCTCTAATAAGATCGGTCACAAACATGATCCCTGCACGATCTAATGTGTAGCGTCTTATTAACTCACTGTCATGCATTGTGCGACACATTTCTTCTCCCTCTTCATGTTTCGTCCAATTTCTCCACTGCTAAAGAAACTCTTAAGCCTCTTAAAAGTCCTTGTCCGCACACCTAACCCTTTTGAACCTTAAGACCTCTTTTAAGGGTGAAGATGCTTTCTGAATTACTTTTTCTTTGCTTTAATTTTAAGAGGAAACACCCACATTTCTAAGAATTTTCTTAGAATTTTGTTACTAGGAGCAGCTCTAAGATTTTTCATGAATACGGGCCCTGGAGTCTATGTGTCCCCCGGACGGCCCCGGCCCAATTTAAACCCTGCCTATTGTAAGCTACATTTAAATGCATATGATTTATAGTCAAATGTAATAACATATTATTATTATTATTATTACTATTTTTATTATTATTTAAAGTATTATTTTCTGTCAATTACATAGCATGAAAATGGCGGTGCCAGTGAGGGGCGACCTGCTCCTGTAGAATAAAACGACAGGCTGTTTTGAAATCGAGAAGACTGATATGATTGCCTTCTAGTGTGAGTATACATACAGTCATTCATTTCTTTGTGTGTAGACTTTAAAGAAAACAACTTTAACACAATACTTAATACACTTTTTCTCTCTTATATACTGTAGACCTTAGCCTACCTCCATATTTCATTCTGCCTTTAGAAACTTCCACTGAAAATTAGTTGGCAACACTGATTATAAGCCTTCACTTTGAAATTGCAGGCGTAATTTTTCCTGTTTCACCATACTCTCTCTCTCTCACACAAACACACACACATTATATATGTATATATATTCTTTATTTTTTATTTACCATGCTGTCATACTTAACGTATTTTATAGGAAATAAACAGCGACACAATAAGGTTCTAAAAGTGCTGTAATTGTTTGTGTTATCACTTTGCTTATAGAAGGTTGTGACAGACCCAAATCATCACTACTGCATAGTTGCATTTTTCCGGTTGCCAAATATGTTTTAATGTAGTGATTACTTCCATTCCTGGTGCTATGGCATTTATGCGCGGTGTCGGGGATGTTATCGCAGGGCTGTCCAAACTCGGTCGGTGTCCTGCAGAGTTTAGCTCCAACCCTAATTAAACACACCTGAACCAGCTAAAAAAGCTATTACTAGGCATAGAAACTTCCAGTCAGGTGTGTTGAGGCAAGTTGGAGCTAAACTCTGCAGGACACCGGCCCTCCAGGACCGAGTTTGGACAACCCTGTGTTAGCGTGTCTCTAATAAGATCGGTCACAAACATGATCCCTGCACGATCTAATGTGTAGCGTCTTATTAACTCACTGTCATGCATTGTGCGACACATTTCTTCTCCCTCTTCATGTTTCGTCCAATTTCTCCACTGCTAAAGAAACTCTTAAGCCTCTTAAAAGTCCTTGTCCGCACACCTAACCCTTTTGAACCTTAAGACCTCTTTTAAGGGTGAAGATGCTTTCTGAATTACTTTTTCTTTGCTTTAATTTTAAGAGGAAACACCCACATTTCTAAGAATTTTCTTAGAATTTTGTTACTAGGAGCAGCTCTAAGATTTTTCATGAATACGGGCCCTGGAGTCTATGTGTCCCCCGGACGGCCCCGGCCCAATTTAAACCCTGCCTATTGTAAGCTACATTTAAATGCATATGATTTATAGTCAAATGTAATAACATATTATTATTATTATTATTACTATTTTTATTATTATTTAAAGTATTATTTTCTGTCAATTACATAGCATGAAAATGGCGGTGCCAGTGAGGGGCGACCTGCTCCTGTAGAATAAAACGACAGGCTGTTTTGAAATCGAGAAGACTGATATGATTGCCTTCTAGTGTGAGTATACATACAGTCATTCATTTCTTTGTGTGTAGACTTTAAAGAAAACAACTTTAACACAATACTTAATACACTTTTTCTCTCTTATATACTGTAGACCTTAGCCTACCTCCATATTCTTCACCTCTTATTTCTACTGTGTATTACATGTTTGTTTTGCATTACATGGTTACTGGGTGCGTCTATTAAACTTATTAAACTTTTTAGAGAACTTGATTTTGACTCTGAAGAGTGAGTGTAGCAGTTTTTATATAGCAGTGTGTCACAGGACAGGAACAATAAGACTGGTGTTCCCTTTTTGTGTTGATGAGAAGAACTATGGTGGTCTTCTGTTGTCATGAGAGGATCTGCATTCACGCTTACTGTGGACTATAGAGGAGGAGAGGGGGCTGGACAGGGAGGGTGAGAATGAGAGCCTATCTTCTCCAGTGCACTTTGCAGTCAGTCTGGAAGGGGAGGGGGGAAGGAGGGGGCAGCGTTCGCTGCTGGATCGCTTATCTGAGATCTCAAAGTCCGCCTTTCGCCCTTGCGCTCTCCCCTCTCCGCGGACCTGCCATGGATGTTACTCCTGGATGTGCATTCTTCATTATTTTCCTTCACTTTCAGCACGCGGATACTCTTTACATCGCCAACAGTATAGGTACGTGGAGGTGTTTTTATTGTCAGTTCTGATCACGGTTAGTTTATGCAGGAGATACGGATCCGTTCGGCTGTTCAGTCAGCCTTATGAAGCAGCAACTCAGTTTCTCTGTTTCATCAACTTATACTTTTATAGAAAGGAATGAGTTTTCAGACTAAAATAATTGTATTGTCAGCGACGTTTTCACTGAATTTGAGTGTCTGGAAGTTTTCATGGCATCTAAAATTAAAGATCTCTAACTTTTGTCACAGTAAAAAGAACGTCATGATACAGTATATACATTTTATTATATTTACGAATTTAGCGTTGATTGTGAAACTCGAAGGAAGCGCAAAATCCACGCGACCTGTCAATAATGTAAAACAGCTGATGGCTCTTGTGTCTCCTGCTTGAATTAACTGTCGCAAAATGCCGACATTACTGTCTAGATGAGTACAGAGGAGAGTAAATTATACAGAAGAACCATGCACATAATTTTTACTGTCAAATTATAAAAGACAAATCATATTATAGTGTTGACTTTTCTGTAAGCTGCTCTTTCCTATGAAGTGAAGGACACTTATGCATAGGATGCAAAAACAGAGCAGCCAAATGTGTTGCTGCTTCTCTCATCAGTATGATAGGAATGCATGACACATTGTTTGGGAGAAAGGGTAAGATGTGTCGCCCCCTTAATCTAAAAAAATGTACAGTTCTTGTCCTGTGACCATATAGATAGGTATTAATGGTCATATTCAGTTGCCTGTGATTTATAAGGGATGCACAATAGAAAAGTGTTTTTTGTTTTTTTTTTGCATGTCAAAATGACATGGCAGATGTACTCTCAAGGAGAATTTATGCATATATAAAAATGATATGCATTTTGGAGAACTGCCAATTTAAATTTTTCTGTGGGGTGTTTCAGATTCTTTGGAGTAAGTTGTGCCATCTGCTTAACTAGCGATAATGAGTTTGTCACCATTTCATAATTCTCTGCAATTGTGATGGTCGGAGTTTTTTCAGTGCAATAAAGTATGTTATTGTTAGTTTTTTTTCTAACAAGAATTTAATCAATTTTAAGTCATTTTAAATTCAGTTCAATTCATTTATTTTTATAGCGCTTTTCCCAATACAAATCGTTGCAAAGCAACTTTACAGAAAATTAAGTTTCTACAATATTTAGTGGTAGCTTATCAGTGGTGACTGTTAGTTAATGTACATATGGCAGAAATGTATGGAAAAATCAATTAAAGACGTAATCAAACAGACGATGAACACTATTAACAGCAATTATTATATAATGCGATTAAACTTATAGCAAAATTTGGTAGTTGTTTCAGGGTTGGCATCATCTGAGGTCCTCTGAGGGCTTGCATCATCTCTTCTCAGGTGTTCTGGATCCAGACTGAAGCTTGTGTAAATCCTAGTTAAAACAGAGAAACCAATAGAGACATAATTAGCGTAGCTGCTGTTCCTACCAATCAAAATTGATTTGTTTAACCCAAACTAAAGAATAATAATGTGCATTTGATCAGATATAACTGCAGTACAAGATTATGAGATGCATTATTTGAATGCTTGGCCAAAGAGATGTGTCTTTAATCTAGATTTAAACCGACAGAGTGTGTCTGAACCCTGAACGTTATCAGGAAGGCTATTCCAGAGTTTGGGAGCCAAATGCGAAAAAGCTCTACCTCCTTTAGTGGACTTTGCTATCCTAGGTACTACCAAAAGTCCAGAGATTTGCGACCTTGGGGAGCGTGATGGATTGTAGCGTGGTAGAAGACTAGTTAGGTACGCATGAGCTAACTCATTAAGGGCCTTGTAGGTAAGTAATAATATTTTGTAACTGATACGGAACTTAATAGGTAGCCAGTAAATGCTAAATGTATTTTAATTAATGGCTGATTAATGATTGTCTTAGAATAATGTGAAGCAAAATGTGACTCTGTAATTATTATTATTATTATTATTATTATTATTGTCTTTGCATAAATAACTAATGTTTCACGTTCAATGTTTTCATTAAAATTCAAATTGATCAGGCAGGAAGGGGCAGCTTGTATCACCCCCTTTAAAAAATAAAATAATAAATAAAAATGTTCTGTCCCTATGATAAAGATGATAGAAGATATTGTGAAATATAGTTAAATATGTCAGTTTTACATGTGTCTCATTTCTCCTTGCCTAGAGGACAATTTAAGCAAAAGGTGACACAACTTACCCCTTCTATTCAATGCAATGTTTCTATAGATTTTTCTTACTTTTAATAAGAAAAGTCTTTACATCTGTAACTTTTTAAAGCTGTCATTTTAAATATTGGTTGTGTTTGGACAGCTGTACTGTCTGCATAATATAAGTCTTGCAGTTGATTTAGAGATTACTGGAGTTTTGACCGATGCTGGAAGCTTCTGGTGTGCACTGTGGAATCTATTGACTTTGTGTTTGCATGTGTGTGCGTGCACATTTAAATGTGTGTAACTGTGTGCATGCCCCTGGCAGATTCCCTGCAGCATGTCCTGAGGGAGTACGGGCTAGTGAGGCCGGTGAGCGTGGATGCAGACGGACGCTTCCTCTCCCACGCCGTCTCTGCCAGCCGGTTGAGTGGGCAGGGGTCCCACCGGCGCAGGAGGAGGCAGGCCAACCAGCATGGAGAGGCCAATGCGGAGACGAACTCAGAGCAGGACCACCTGAGGCACAAGGAGACACTCTTTTATAATGTCACTGTTTTCGGACAGGAGTTTCACCTTTGCCTCAGGCTAAATTCCAGGCTCGTGGCCCCTGGAGCCAAAGTGGAGTGGCTTGAGGACAATAACCAAACGCACTCTGAGCCTTTGTTGCCCAGTGACTGTCTATATGTGGGTTATGTTACCAATGTGCAAGATACATCAGTGGCTCTCAGCAATTGCGATGGCCTGGTAAGTTAACTGCTCTCTTATATAAAGCATCACTGCATTTATCCAGTGCAATGTGGGTTAATGATATGATGGTAATTTTTTTAAACATTATATATATATATATATATATATATATATATATATGTTATTGACCAAATACTTATTTTCCACCATAATTTGCAAATAAATTCTTTAAAAATCCTACAATGTGATTTTCTGGATTTTTTTTTCTCATTTAGTCTCTCATAGTTGAGGTATACCCATGATGAAAATTACAGGCCTCTCTCATCTTTTTAAGTGGGAGAACTTGCACAATTGGTGGCTGACTAAATACTTTTTTGCCCCACTGTATATGGTCCTCACTTTCTGAGACCCCTTTAAAGGCCTGGTTGAGGGTCAAGACTTGGTTTTAGGGATCAGGTTATAATTGGGTAATGGTTAGATTTAGGCTAAGGGTTTGGGTGAGGCACTTAGTTCTGTTTGGTTTAGGGTAAGGAGCTAGATATTGCATTGAGTATGTCCTCACAAAGATAGCTAAAGAGAGCTATAACATGTTTACATGTACGTATTAATTACATTTTCTATTTTTCTGTTGTGTATATAGTCAAGGTCAAACTCTCTTTAAAGGGGTCATATGACGTTGCTAAAAAGAACATTATGTTGTGTATTTGGTGTAATGCAATGTGTTTATGCGGTTTAAGGT